GACTCAAACTCCCGGCCTCAGCCTGGACTCAAACTCCCGGCCTCAGCATGGGCTCAAACTCCCAGCCTCAGCGTGGACCCGATCTCCCGGCCTCAGTGTGAACTCAAACTCTGGCCTCAGCTTGGACTCGACTCCTACCAGCCCTGGCCTCGAGGTACAGCCTGGCAGGTCTGGGTTGAAAGGAATATTATTCTGAACACTTATTTCTCCATTTTTTAATGTGTTGCTGGGCATTTTATTTCGATTATTTTTCTAACTTTTTTCCCAAAGAATTGGTATTTACGTATGTGTACATGGAACCTTGGTACCTAAGAAGGTACCATATGTGATGACTTGTAAACTTTTCACTGTGCTCATGTGAGTACATGTGGCAATTAAGCTAATTCTAAATCATTCCTGATGGTTTCACTGACAGCGCTGGCTAACAGGCAGGACTTCTGACTGCCTGGTGCTTCGGGGTCTTTGCCACCATATGACACTGATTTAGGAGCCTTGTGGTGCAGTGGTAGTGTTCCTACATTTCATTCAAGTCCAACCTCAGGATATGATGGCTATGGGAATGTTATTATACATCTAACAGATTGATTAAAAATAATTTTGAAGACACTGATTTAAATTCATTCATCATGATTTTCTCAGTTACTTGTGGATGAATTTGCTGCCTGAGTCAACTCTGGAGTTAAAATTGCTGTTAACTTTTATATTTTTATCCATTCACCAGTCCTGCTCCAGCTTGGATTAAGATCACGAAACAAGTCAAAACAGATAATGAAAATGAAAGATGGAGAAGAGGTTGACACTCAGTAAAAGACTATAGCAGGCAGGAAACATTTTGATTAAGTTGAACAGAGTGCTGCCTGAGCAGATCATAAAATGAGTAAAGGATAGAAAGTACAACAAGGTAAAATGCATGATTTGGGAGTCTGGGGGGTTGACTATGAGAAATGAAATGACTAAATACACATAAAACTGGTGCCAAGGAATGTTGATGGCCCAATGGAGCATATTAAGTGACAATGTGATCTAACACATTGCAGCAAATTGAGAACTATGCTGATTTTGCAAAAATGTTATCCAATCGGCTTCACCTTGAATACATTTAACTCTATATTTTTTCTCAGAACTGTGTCCTCTGACAGTTTTATTTCATTCCAGCCCCTATCTTAATGATGCCTTCCATATGTACAATAGCACATGGTCCTCTTTGCTCACATTAAACATGACACCAATTCAATTTATGATCAACAAGGGAAACCTTTAAATTCAAGGTAATTAAATAGTCACAATTCATGCTGCATAGATGTGCACAAACACAACTTCCTTAGCTTACAAATTCGAGTCAAGAGATTTACCAAAGATTTACAAAACTTACAGAAGTCGAGAAAATTTAACTCATTTATTTACTTGGAATATGGCTGTCATCATAAAGGCATTCTTTAAGTTTATAGTAAGAATCATACAAAAAATTTTCAACATCACAATTGGATATTTAATATAGCTCCAAGATTCACAATTTTATAGACAGGTATGGTATTTATTCATTTGATTCCATTTGCAAAATTTCAGAAATTCTTTCTGCTGATGCTTTCCTCATTGCATCTTCATACAGAGGGTTGGAAAAGGAAGTCGGCACATTTGATGCATTAGAGAATAGCTGTAAAAATGAAGAAGAAATGTTAAATTAAGTCTCCAAAACAATTTTTTTTTTTATCTTCTGGCCTGAATCATGGTAGGAGGAATATGTTGTACCCAAAATCTGTATTTTTTTCTAACTGTACTGTCACCCTAATTCAAAAAAATTCAAATTTTGCATGCTTTGATATTCATTGTGATTAGTGTTGAGAAAGTGATCTTTCAAGTTTATGAAATCCTTGTGATTTTTGCTGTGATCATTCAAATGCTAACTATGTTAGCTAACATCTTCTTCTGGCTAGCTGGATAGGGTAATCGTCATTTTTTTTTAACCATAGCCACAGCAGTCCAGACACCCTGCCTTTGCTGCCTCGCAGGATTTCACAAGTCCAAAACTTTTTGCATCACTCACCACCCACATACCACTTCCACACTCCAAACTCTCCTTCTGTATCTGTCCTGGGAGAAAGAACTATCTTCCAATTTACTTGCAGTGGCACTTTTGCAACAAAATCTCAGACTTTTGAACGGACCTCTCAAATGTTAACGTTGGTCTCTCTCTCTGCACTTTCTTTGCAGCTGTAACACTGTATTCTGCACTCTGTTCTGCAACCCTGATGCACTTTGTATGGTACAATCTGCGTGTAGATCATACAAAACAACACTTTTCACTGTATCTCAGTACATGTGACAATAAATTAATCAAATCAAATAATCCTTCAGTTGGCCATATATTTCTGCAGCTTTTGATTTGTCTAACTACACTCTCGCCTCCAGCTTTGATGGTCTAGTCCCCATTAAACAATTACTCTCTCTGACCCTCATCTCTGCTCCTTTGAATCTAAGGGGCGCAGAAGTATATGGCAGAAAACTGCTTTAGCTGACTACCACTAGATATGGGTGGACCATGAAACACTGCTCTCGTTTTCTAAAACAACTCATTATTTCACAATCATTCTTGAATGCAAGGATAAATCCTAGCTTTTTTTTTCCATTTCAAGTGTTCTTCTTATAACTGTGTGCTTTGTCTCTCCCACCCTCACCTCCAAAACTAAATGCAAGGAGCTCACGGACTCCTTTGTCACAATGATCAAGACAATCAATCATCTGTCTCTCTCTCCCTCCCTCTTTCTACTAACCCAGCAGGCCAATCTTTCTTTAAAACTTCAGACCATCATCGCCCTAGCACTGAATTCACATGTCTCGTGGTTTCTCTCTTACCTTACCTAGTGCTCACATTAAGATCATATTACCCATAAAACCTGTCTCCTGTTTATTTGGTTATATCCCCACTAAATTGCTGACCACCCAAGTTCTCCTCCTGGTTCCCATATTTATTAATTTTGTTAATGGTTCTCTTCATTCAAGTCTTATTCCTCTTTCTGTTAGTTGTGCTGTTTTAGCATATCTCCTCAAAACAGTCAACATTTGACCTCACTGTCATTGCAAACTCCAAGTTTGCTTTCATCCCTTTCTGTAGTTCTTGAATAAATTCAATGTCACAAACAAATCAATGTCCATCTTTCCTGAAAATCCAAGATAGAATCCTGTCTATCATGTTTCTGCCTCATTGCAGTTCTGAAACAGCTATTATCAAAGTCATAATAACATCTTATATGAGAGAAAAGTAAAGTATCTTTCCTTATCAATTTTGACCTATCTGCAGTAGTTGATATAGTTGTCCACATCATCGTCCTCTGAGATCTGTCATTCACAATGTGTGGACTGTCTTGAAACATAGAAACATCGAAAACAGGTGCAGCAGTAGGGCCATTCAGCCCTTTGAGCCTGCACCACCATTCAATACGATCATGGCTGAACATGCAATCTCAGTATCCCATTCCTGCCCTCTCCCCATCCCATGGGCCATGTTCAGCACTCTCTTGAATATGTCTGATGAACTGGACCCAACAACTCCCTGTGGGAAAGAATTCCAAAGGTTTACAACTCTCTGAGTGAAGACATTCTTCCTCATCTCAGTATTAAAAGGTTCACCCTTTATTCCTGAACTGTTACCCCCTAGTTCTGGACTTCCCCAACATCAGGAACATTCTTCCCACATGTAGCCCGTTCAGTCCCATCAAGATTTTATATGCTTTTTATGAGATCCCCCCTCATTCTTCTAAATTCCAGAGAATACAAGCCCAGTCCAGTGTTTCCTCATATGTCAGTCATTTGCCTGGTTCCCTCTTATCTATCCAACCATAATGAGAATATCATTTGCAATAGCTTCTCTTACTTTTCCCATATCCATGACGTTTGGTGTCACCTCAGGATCTACCCTTGACTCCATTCTTTTCTCATTTACGTTATGCCCCTCAGTGACATTATCGGAACTACTGGGTTAATTTTGATGTGTGCACTGATGACACCTAGCATTGCCTCACTGCTACCTCTCTGTACAACTGGATGGCTTTCTTTGATTCATTCATGCAACATGGGCATCACTGGCTGCACCAGCATTTATTACCCATCCTTAGTTGCCCTTGAGAAGGTGGCAATGAGTGTCTTCTTGAACCACTGCAGTCTATAAGTTGTAGGCAGACCCAAAATGCCATTAGTGAGGGAAATTCAAGATGAGTGGCATGGAGGAGACCTTGCTAGTGGTGTTGTTCCCATGTATCTGCTAACCTTGTCCTTCTAGACAGAAGTGGCCGTGTGCTTGTAAGGTTTCGTCTAAGGAGCTTTGGTGAATTTCTGCAGTGCAACTTGTAGATAGTACAGACTGCTGCTACTGAGCATCAGTGTTGGAGGGAGTGGATGCTTGTGGATGTAGTGCCAATCAAGTGGGCTGGATTTGTCCTGAATGGTGTCAAGCTTCTTGATTGTTTTTGGAGTTGCATTGAGCCAGGAAGGTGGGGAGTACGCCATCACACTCCTGATTCATGCCTTGTAGATGGTGGACAGGCTTTGGGGAGTCAGGATTTCTCTGGATGTGTGCAACTCTAACAATTAAATTACCTGAATGATTATCTAACATCTAGGGCTGGGGGGAGTAGAAAATTTCCCTGGTTAAATATTAGGACAAATTAAGCAACTGTTTTCAGTTTCAACTGCAAACTCCGTTTCCTAGCTACCTATTTCATTCCCTTTCTCCTGCCAAAAGTTGGAGACTCAGCAAGACTGTTTGTAACTTTGGTGTCATTTTTGAATTTGAACTTATGACCACAAATTCCTTCCATCACTGAGACTACCTATTTATGACCTCCATGACATCAACTGATTTTGCCTTCACCTCAGTTGATATTTTACTTCATTCACTGGTTAGTCCAGCATTTATTAAGAATCCCTCATTGCCCAGAGGGCAGTTAAGAATCAACCACATTGCTATGGGTCCAGAATCACACATAGGCTAGACCAGATAAGTACAGCAGATTGGCTTTTCTGTCAACAATCCACAATGATTTCATGCTCATTATTAGATTCATAATTCCAGATTCTTATTGAGTCTAGCATTTGCCATGGAAGGACTTGAACCTGGGCCTTCAAAACCTGACAGGGGTTTCCTAATTAGTAGCCTAGCAATAATACCACCAGGCCATCATCTCCCCATCTGCTGCTAAAACCCTTATTAATGACTTTGTTACCTCTGAACGTAACCACTCCAACTCAATCCTGGCTGGTGACCCACATTCTACGCACTTTAGTCATAGTCCTAACATGTATATATTAATCCATCACTTATGCTCTTGCTGATCTATGTTAGCTCCTTGTCAAGCAATGTCTTGATTTTAAAATTCTTGTCCTCGATTTCAAATCGCTCCATGGCCTTGCCCTTCACTGTCTATGAAATCTGATCCACACCCAAACTCTCTCAGATCTAGTAATGCGTAATGAGGCAGTTTAATATGTAATGTCAGAGCAAAAGGTCCCCTAGGCAACAATGACGATGACATGGTAGCATTTAGCATTCATTTTGAGAGAGAGGAACCTGGGTCAGAAACAACTGCATTTGGCTTAAATAAAGGCAACAACAAATTAAGGAGAGCTGAGCAGGCTGGAGTGGACTGGGATAGGAGTTCAGAAGCAAAAACGCCTGAAGAGCAATGGAAGATGTTTAAGAAAATAGTTCAAGACCCACAGGAAAGATATAGACCAGAGAGGAGGAAGGATTCTATGAAGGGGAAAAGCTAACCATGGTTAACCAGGCAGTTAAAGATCGCATCAAATTGAAAGAAAAGAAAACATACAATGTGGCAGAGATTGGTGGTGAGCTGGAATATTGGGGAATTTTTAAGAAACTAACAAGAAATTATCAGAAAAAAAGATAAAGAGTGAACTTGGAAGTGATGTCAAGAAGGATAGCAGGAGCTACTTTAAACAGATAAAAAGGAAGCGATAAGCCAAAGTGAATTTAGATCCTTTAGAGAATGGGGCTGGGGAAATGATAATGGAGAACAGGAAATGGTAGAGGAGTTGAATACTTTGTATTGGTCTTCATGGCAGAAGACACTAATAGCATTCCAAACTTATTAAATATTCAAGGTGCAAAAGGAGGAGAAGAGGAAATAAGTACAATGACTATTACCAGAGAAAAATGCTAAGGAAGCTAATGGGGCCTAATCCTAATAAGTCGCCTGGACCAGATGGGATGTATGAATTGTTTGAGATTAGCAAGGAGAAGATTCCTAATGGTGACAGCAAAATGTCCCATTTTCCAACCAAGTGTTGAATGACAAGATGAGATTCTCACTAGTGAGTGGTAAGAGGCTAAGTTGCATATATTAACATTACATCATCTCACTTCACTGATATGCAGTTTCCCATTCTCCCAGCTGCCTGATAGAAACTAGACGGTGATATGTCTTGACAGTAGGGGTGGTAACCTGGTGGCTCCAGCTCATCGCTAGCACATCTGGCCCTCCATTTTGGTTGCCAGTCACCCATACCTCAGGGCAAACTCCATTGGTAGCAAACACATGCATTCCTCTTCAACCACAGCCACGTCCCAACCCCGCCCATCCCATCCTCCATGAGCTACTCTTCTGGGAAAATTGCAGCCAAAGTCTCCTCATGCTATCGGCAAAAATGGGATGCCAATTCCTCTCTGTCTGGAAAGGCTGGAACAATTATCAAGGACTATGCAGAGAAGCTGCAGACTGCCACTACTTGAACAGGTACATGTTTGGACTTTGAAGATAGTGCCAGGAATCCCAGGAGATCTAAACAGTGGCCAGTTGTTTGACCTGTTGTGGGGAGGGGGGTGGGCGTGCGGAGGTGGATCATGAAGATGTACTGTGTAAGTAATAATGTGGGTTTATAGTGGGGAGGCGATGGCCTAGTGGTACTCTCGCTGGACTGTTTATCCGGAGATCCAGATAACATTCTGGGGACCAGGATTTGAATCCTGCCATGGCACTTGGTGGCATTTGAATTCAATAAATATCTGGAATTAAGAGTCCAATGATGACCATGAATCCATTGTCGATTGTTGGAAAAACCCATCTGGGTCACTAATGTCCTTTAGGGAAGGAAACTGCCATCTTTACCTGATCTGGCCTACATGTGACTCCAGACCCACAGCAATGTGGTCGACTCTTAACTGCCCTCTGGGCAATTAGGGATGGGCAATAAATGCTGCCTAGTCAGCAACACCCTCATCCCATGAATGGATAAAGAAAAAAAATAAGGATAGCTTGGGAAAACTCTTTAGACTTTGTGGAGAGAAACCCTCCTATGCAAAAATGGCATGTAGGCAACTTCTGGCAAGATTTAACATGAAATGTCTGGTTTCATAAGAAATAATTGAAGGAATTTCAATATTCAATATGTTTCCTAATTATTTAGGTCAGCAAGGCTCCTGAAGTCTTCCTCTGGTGGATAGTAGGTGAGTTAGCATTTGGAGATTAAGGGAAATGGATGGTGGGTGGACAATGGGCTGGCATTTTTAAAATTTATTTATGGAACATGTGTATCACTGGCTAGGCCAGAATTTATTGCCTATACCTAATTGCCCAGAGAGTAGTTAAAAAAAAATCAACCACATTGCTGGTTGGTCTGGAGTCACATGTAGGCCAGACCAGGTAAGGTTGGCAGACTTCCTGCACTAAGGAGATGTTAGTCACTAAAACGGCATTAGGCATTTTGTGTGCCAATCAACAGTGGTTACATAGTTGCCATCAGGCTAGCTTTATATTCTGTATTCTTGTTGAATTCAAATGTCACCATCTGTCATGGTGGGAATTGAACCCATGTTGCATGCATTGGTATGGATAGGGCATGCAGAGTGTATGGAGTGGATGGAGGGATGTGAGAGCTGAGGACTGGAGTGTTATTTCGCATTTTGTGTGAATGAATGTTTGGGTCACTCTTTCTCCACAAGCTCCTTAAAATCACAGAATGAAATGAATATGAGTGATCGACAGTGACAACATATGAAATGCAAATCTAGTTTTGATTGCCAGAAGTGCCGTAACACATATTTTATTATGGACCAAATCAGTACCATCGATTTTGGCAAACTGTGTGGCGGTGTTTTCCCAGCAACACGTGGCAGATTTGGAGATTTTAAGGTTTGTTGGGAAAATTGGAACAATGTGCATCGCTTGGCTCCATGATATTTTCCCAGCTCCTCTCAATTGTACTGGAGGCTACTACTTACTATGAGCTACTCTTCTGGGAAAATTGCAGCCAAAGTCTCCTCATGCTAACATATGGGTTCACGACCTGGAAATCAGCCTGACATCAGGTTTGTGACTCAAGTGATTTATGCATGTGAGAAATCTGGCAATCCATGGTAAAATATTGAAAGATCCTCTTGCCAAGTCCAGTGAAATAAATTTCATTTCAGTATTTGTTTCAGATCAGATTATTCAATGTAATTATTTACTGTCATCATTGTATTGTTAGTCGTGATGAGGTAAATTATGGAATTTTTTTCCTCCAAACTGTGCAAAACCATTTTTATCAATAAGTAGATCTGACCATACCCTATACGAAGTGTGCCAGGGGTAAACACTAATAGATGGACAAGTCAGAAGGTCTTCCACAGCAAACTGAAAAAAGAAAGCACAGTAGAACAGCATTGCTTTGGCAAACAATCAATACATTGCACAGTTTCACACTGAGAACTGTCAAGAAAACAAACACCATGGAATAACATGACTAATCACAATTTTATTGAATAAAACTGGACAAGTCCCAGGATACTATTCATACAGAAAGAAACATTTGTCTTGTGAACATAACAAGTCTTAACTAAACATATTTTTTCAACGCACTCTGCCAGTTGTAATTAGGGTTATTTGTATCCTGTAGATATTGAGTAAACGTAAGGATGAATTGATTTTACTTTGTTAGTCTGATATAAGCCAATGGCATTTAAACAACATGTTTTATTTTCAGGGACCCCATTTTCACTTTCAATTTTCTCCCTCTCCAGAAAGTACAGGTACTTGCTTGGCTGTACTTCCACAGGCAGTTATGGCCCCCTGTGAATATTTTTCATATTGAAACCTAGACAGCGATTGTGACCTGTTTATTGAGATGGAAGGCACCATAGCAACCTCTCTGCCTCGTTCTTATGCAACATCCATACTTGCACATGTTCCAGTAAGGATTACAGGGTGGTGGTCAGAGACTGGAGCCAAGATCCACAATAAGAGCCAATATTGAGCCTCAAAGCAGTCTGCAATTTATGGGCTTAGAAATACAGTGAGCGTTTACCCAACATGAGAATGTTTTATTTTATTTCAAGAGATGGAAAGAACCGTGATTGATTTTTTAAAAAGTTTGAAACACTGTTTGTTTTAAATATGAGCTTAGGTGGCATACTGTCCGGGAGAAGTGCCTTGATGAAGTGTGAACCCAGCATTGTGAATTGGAAACAACATAGACAGCTGAAATGACAGTCATTGGAATAATTATCTATCCGCTGACATTCATTCACACAGTCAATGGTACCACCACATCAAGGCGGATCAATATTTGGCATTTTAACAAAGCTGACTGCCTACTTGATATTAAAGGGTTCATTAAAGAGGAATTTCACATGGACCTTCTAAGTAATTACTTTAAAATAGAATTTCGAGGACTCTCTTATTTGTGTGTTGGGACAAAAATATTTTTGAAACAAATGGGCCCTAAAATTCCTTGAGGCACAATATAAAATTGGAAGATAAAGCGGGTCTGGAATATGAATCCATGATGAATATCAGGTGATTTTCTTTAGGGCTCTTGGGGCACAGCAGTAATATCCGTACTTCTAAACCCATAGACATAATTTAAATCCCATGTGCTCTAGAGGTGTGTCATAAGATCTCTGAACAAGCTGATGGGTAAATATCTATCAGGCAGCTCTCTATTCTGAAGAGAGGCAACTAAGATTTCCCCAATGGAGCCTGGGCACACAAAACCTCAACTGCTGCAAACTGTACTGATGTCGAAGGGGCTTATTCAAATATGAGGAACTGCATCGACAAAGCATTTAGACACTTGTCCTAATGTGCAGGATTTTTCAGACGAAGGAGTTTGCCTCCAAGAGGCTGAAAATGTTGGTGAAGATCTCAGCAGCCTCACAGCATTTACTGCTGCATTCGTTACTGACTGGAGGTGGGACTTCTGCTCCTCACTGCCAGCTAATCTCTCTCATCTCATCAGCGCCACCAGGAGCAGAGTTCACTGCTGGGATTGCATCTAGTTGGAAAAATTTACATGTTGGGAGCAAAGGATAAAGGTAGGCACTGGAGGATCATGGTGCAGACTGTGTGAACGCTCAATGAGGAAAGGAATCTGAAGATGGAGCAGGTTTACCTGGCAAGCCTCCTTCACATGCCTGCCCTCTTTTTGTCATCTGCAAAATGTATTACCAGGAGGTAAGCAGCTCTGATGTAGTCAATAATTTGGGCATCTTAAACTGGCTTCCACCCTATAAAATTTCTGACAGGTCAGGGGTGGTTGAGTATAGAACAGGAAGGTCACACAATTAATTCTACAGGCACCCAACCTCTCATCCCACTGCTTAGCTTCCAAAACAGAAGAACTCTATGCCATATCTTAATAAATTTCAGTTAAAAGTTAAATACAGCCAAAATTAGATTTTTATGAAGAGTTTGAGACTCTGCTTCTTTGGAGACTCTCCAAAGGTCAGCCTCAGTCAGTTCTTACAAGGTGTAAATGGGTATTGATGGAAGGCGTGGGGCTATGGGAGGAGTTGGTCGGGGAGTAATCTTCCTGATTATTGCCTAATCCATGAGAGGGAACAGTAGCAATTACATGGTTTTCTTAACATCAGCTTCCTGCAGGTGGAGTATGGGAGAGTAAATTCAACAAGAATAGCAAGTTTCAGTTAAAAACATGTTAGGAAAATCTGAAATTCTTAATAGGCAATGAGCAGATCATGAGGTTGATGAATACAGGCTCAGCATATGTATGTATGTTGTGCACACGTGCGTGTGTATGTGTGTGTTGTATGCATGTACATGTACATCTGTGTGTACATGCGTGTGGAGAGCAAGGGTGCAGAGATGGACTTTATGGGTATGGCAAACTTGGACGAAACCTAAACCCATAAAACAACACTTTTACAAAGTTCTTTAAAAGTATAGACTTGTATATTTATGCATTGATCTATATTATGTGATCTTTAATGATTATGTACTCAATGTTACTTGGCTGTTTTATTGCAGTTCTGTTTTTATTGGCATCTGGGGTCACATTTAAGTGTTAAAAGTAGGGTGATGCAGGAAAATAGTTGAGAAGGTTTTGTTCTAACAAAAAAGGACACATTTTTCTTTTAAACAGTCACATCCTGCTACTTTAATTAGCCACCTCAAAGATATGCTAGAGATCTTGTCAAATGATACCTACCTCTGTATTGAGATTTGTCCTTTGATCACCATACATAATATTGGATATTGAATTGCATTTCGTCCTCGGTGATTGTCTCCTACAAAGATAAAACAATTTTGACCCAATGATTTACAAATAAAACTTGTCAGTATTATGATACATCACAAATTCCTGAGTTTAGGACCCCTTTCTACAAAAGCAAAATACTGCAGATGCTGGAAATCTGATACAAAAACAAAATCCGGTCTGGCAGCATTTGTGGAGAGAGAAAAAATGAAAAACATTTCAAGTCCATTTCTGAAGAAGGGTCTAGACCCAAAACATCAGCTTTCCTGCTCCTCTGATGCTGCTTGGCCTGCTCTATTCATCCAGCTCTACACATTGTTATCTCAAGTCCAGTATGACTCTTCTTCAGAACACTTTATGTAAATGTCTTTTTCTGTCTATTGTTAAAAATTGTCATTTTGTTATGAGCAACAGGGTTGCCAATAACTTCTGTCACTCACTGTGCAGAGATCTATATTTTGAGTTTCATATTGGGCTTTGTACTATGTACTTTTATGGCTTGTGGCAGAAGATTGTCACAACTGGGCAACAAAGGTCGGACTAGCTCGTGGGCAAATACATCTCTAAGAAAGCAAAGAGCCTTTATTTTCTAGCTACACAGGCTGTGCATTTAGGAACATGAGTGACAGTCAACATTTACTCTGCTTGCAAGTAGAATATGACAAGTTAAGTCATATCACACCATATATCATTGGGAGCAACATCACTGCATCAAAAGAATCACAAAGATTTTAATCTATAAATTACTTTATTTATGAGTAATCATGACTTCTGGTAAGATAGTTTTATGTCCACATCAGAAATAGTAAGGTGGGAAGTTGAAATACTTTCAGACTTGGAGAGATTTATAAAATTTGAAAAGTGCTTGCACATCCGTTTATAAATGCTGAAATGAGGTATCATGCATCTAGGGCACGATTATAACATGATAAAGGGGAATGGGTGATGAAACAATGCAATTCATTAAAAACTCACATTGTCATCTCGATTTTAATTCAACACAGGCTGATGGGACAAAGATTTTCTCATTCAATTGTGATGTGAAGATGCCGGTGTTGGACTGGGGTGGATAAAGTCAAAAGTCACATGACACCAGGTTATAGTCCATCAGATTTATTTAAAATCACAAGCTTTCATAGCGCTGCTCCTTCATCAGGTGACTTCACCTGATGAAGGAACAGTGCTCCAAATGCTTGCTATTTTAAATAAATTTGTTGGGCTATAACTTGGCATCATGTGACTTTTGACTTCATTCGATTGTGGTAAGGGGCTCTTTGATCACCTGAACCCATTTACGAATAGTCAGTGTTACAGGGTGCTCATATTTTACTGACAAATTCGCACAAAATTAGCAATGTCACTCAGCCAAGCCATAAGATGAATAACATGGGAAATGAGAACATTTTGTATTATCAGTGCAAAAGGAAATGCTTCTCTGGTGCTCTGGGAGAGCAATTTACTCATACAGCACCATTTCAAATGGTAAAATGCAGATCGTGTCAATTGCCCATTGTTAGTCAGTGCAGAGGGTTGCTACCTGCACAATCTGTGTGCCATTTTTTCGGACAAACATCATCAGGAATTTGTAGGTGGCAGGCCACAATATTCCCTGGCCCAAAGAAATCAATATAATCTCTGCAGAGTGGTTGAAGTAGGGCTGATCAAACAAATGTTCTTTTCTTCAAGAATAATTTTCTAATAATACAATGGACCTGTTTGATAAGGATTCTGGGCATCAAAAAGGTACAATTTGGGAAATATTGCTCATTTTGTTCATTTCATGTAGACTAATTACCAACCATAAATATGTTTTTCAATACATAATGGTCAAATGCTATTCTCAGAGAGAAATATTTTCAATAGAAATGTTGAAGGGGTAAAAGGAGATTAACTTCTCAACATACAAAAAATAATTAAGGAAATGATATTTTTACTGATGTTGCTGGTGGTATGTACATAACCATTGTCCTGCTTGCCATCCAAGATTATCTGATTGGTAATGCAGGTTTATAAAATTACCTCAAACATACATTTAGCAAATCATTTGTGAACACTAACCATTCTGGCATTTTGTGAGCATTTTTCAGAAGGGAACAAGTGAAAACAACATTATAAAAATGCCCTCAGATGTTCTTCAACTTTTATGAACTATTTACAAGTCGGAAGCATAAAAACAGTTTCAATTTATACAGCTCAAATACTCCCACGAAAATCTACAGACTTTGAAGATCTGAGTTAGGAAACAGAATGCGGTTAATGAGAAATAGCATGAGTCTTATATTTGTCATGTAAAGTAAGGCTTTATTTGATAAAATACTAAACAAACATTGTTGATTTCTAACAGGAGCAATGATAAATACAGGATATTTGGCTGGATTTCTAATTTAGCAACTTTATTTTCATTATGAATGATCTATCCCCATTTATTATCTGGGTGCATACCACAAAACTCATAAAACAAAAATTATTATGTGGATTGGATTGGACTGCAAGCTGAATGCATCTTGTATAAAATGGGAGAGCGTATTGCTATTCTGCTCGTGCAACTAGTATATCAACTTGGCTGGCTTGTTATGAAAATTAATTACAGCAAGATACTCAACATGCTACAATACTTACTATTCACCCATATGGTTCTTTGTGGCTGAAGAAGGACTTGGATTTAAAAATCTCTTTTCACAACCACTGAACATCTCAAAGCACTTTACAGCCAAAAAACACCTTTTGAAATGTATCACTGTTGCACTCTAGGGAACAGCACAGCTAATTTTCAACCGCAAGCTCCCACAAAGAGCAATTATCTGTCTTGTTATGCTGTTTACTGGTAAATATTGGCTAAGACATCAGAGATATTTCCCATCTCATTTTTTAATACAATCTCTACAGTGTGGAAGCAGGCCATTTGGCCCATCAAGTCCACACCAAACCTCCAAAGAGCATCCCACCCAGACACATTCCCCTACCCTATTCCCGTAACTCTTGATTTCCCATGGATAATCCACCTGGTGTGCACAATGCCTGAACACTGTGGGCAATTTAGCATGGCCCATACACCTAACCTGCACATCTTTGGCCTGTGGGAGGAAACCAGAGCACCCGGAGGAAACCCACGCAGACACGGGGAGAATGTGCAAACTCCACACAGATGTCACCCGAGGGTGGAATCAAACCCTGGTCCCTGGTGCCAGGAGATAGCAGTGCTCACCAATAAGCCACCATGCCAACCCTTCTCTTCTTAAAAGTAGTGTGATGGGATTTTTAATTCCATGCATGCAGGGAGATTCAACCCAGTACAGGCATGAATGGCCTTCATTAGCACGGTAATAGTTCTGTGATTCTGAGATGGGACTTCAGTTTAACATCTCACCTGAAAGACAGCAACGCCTTCAGAGCTACACTGAAGTGTTAGCCTTGGGTTTTGTGCAGTGAGAATGTGAACATAGGAACAAGAGTGGGCCACAAGTCTGCTCCATCATTCAATAAGATCATGGATGATCTGACCTGATCACTCCTCTTGCTAAACTGTATTCAAAGACTCTGCTTCCACTGCCATTTCTGGAATAGAGTTCCAAAGACTCCTCACCCTAAATGGTTTTTCTCATCTCTGTCATGAATAGCTTCATCTTTAAGCCATTAGTGCAAGGTCCAGATGCTCCCACAAGGGGAAACATCCTTTCCATATCCATTCTGCCAAGGCCTTCAGTATTTTATACATGTTTCAATGATGTCATCCCTTATTCTTCTAAACTCCAGCAGATATAAGCCTAGCCACTCCAATCTATCCTGATAAGACAAGCTGGACGTTTCATTACCAACTGGTAAACTTTCTCTAAGCTGTTTTCAATATATAAAAGATCTTTGCACTACACATTTTCCAACAACATATTACATTTTCCAGATCTTTATTTACTCACACTTATCTACATTATTTTGTACTCTCCTTATGTCCTCTTCACTAACGATTTTCCTACCTTTCTTTCATGTCACCAATACATTTAGTAAGCGTATCTTTGGTCCCCTCATCAAAGTCATGTATACAGGTTGTAAAAAGGTAAGGCCCCCACACTAAACTATTGCGCTCCCTGTCTACCTTTTTGAAAAAAAGATTTATCATTTGCTACTTTAAATCTGACGCAATATCCCTGAATCTAGAGGATTTTGGGAAATTAAAACCAACGCATCAACTATGTCAGTAGCCACTCCTTTGTTAGCCCTCAGTCCTAACAATTTCTTCAGTACGACTTCCCTGGTGATTGAGATTTTCCTGAGTTCTTTCTTCACTTCTACTTCCTGGTTTACATCTATTTTTGGGATGTTACTTGGTTGTTATTTTGGAAACTGATGTAAATTACTTGCTTAGTTTCTCTGCCATTTCCTTATTTTCTATTAGTTATTCCCCACACTTACTTTCTATTGGACAAAGGCTCACTTTGTTAACACTTCCCTTTTTAAAAATGTCCATACTCTTACTATCTGCTTTTATATTTCTAGGTATTTTTCTCTCGTGTTTTGTCCTCTGTGTTAATCTTTCTTACATTATTATTCTTAATATTATTATTTATTCTTAACTTTTTTTTATATTTTATTCAATCTTCTGATCTGCCACCCATCTTCATCCAATTATATACTTTTTCTTCAAGGTTGATACCATCTTTCATTTTTTTAGTTAACCAGAGATGATGGGTCTGCCTCGTGGAAATTTTCTTGCTTATTGGAATATATGTCTATTCTAAAATGTCCACTTAAATACGTAACACTGCATTGCCGCAGACCTATTCTTTAACCTAATTTGCTAGCTCACCTTAGCTAGCTATTGCTAATGCCAAGTCATTCATTGGATTTGGGTATCACTGGCTGGGCAAACGTATATTGCTCAGCCCTGATTATCCAGGGATCTGGAGTCACACATAGTCAAGACTGAGGAAAGAGGCAGATTTCCTTCCCTAAGGGATATTAATGAACCAGCTGGGTTTTTGTCACAATTGCCTTTAGGCTTACTTTTCATTTGAGCTTCTGTTTGTGAAAAATAAG